CTTACCCTTTGCAACAGCATGGATGGACCTGGAGATTATTATGCTAAATGAAATAAGGTAGTGAGAGAAGGCAAATACCATAGGATCTCACTTATACGTGGACTCTATTAGCAAAATAACTGACGAACGGAATAGAATCAGACATGGATACATGGAGCAGACTGACAGCTGTCAGAGGAGAGGGATAGGGGAGGGACTGGATGAAAGAAGGTGAAGAGATTAGCTAAGAACATGTAAGCATAAGCCATGGACACAGACAGCAGTGTGTGAAGGCCAGGGGAGGAAGGGCTTGCAGGCTGGATGGAGGTGGGCAAAGAGTAGGGGGATGGGGGACATCTGTAATGGTGTCAACAACAACAAAAATTTACACATAAATTTATTAGTAAAACAACACATTTGAAAACATTTAGCTATTATATATTTTTTCATGGATTATCAGTAGTTCCCTTTGATTGTCCATTTCTCTGCATTAATGTTTTTAAATAAATTTTTCTTTTTATTATGGAAATTTCAAGCATACACACAATAGAGACAATCATACAATGAACTTCTAGGTATCCATGGTCACTTCAGCAATCCTCAACCTATGGCTGATAATTTTTTTATTTTTTTTTAGATTTTTAATTAGTTTAAGTATTACATATGTCTCCTTTTCCCCCATTGACCTCTCCCTGGCCACCCCCAACCCCCAGCACATGCCCTCATCCCCTCTAGTGTCTGTGTCCATTGGTTATGCTCATATGCATGCATACAAGTCCTTTGGTTGATTTCTTACCCCCTCTCCGCTTCCCTGCCTTCCCTTTGAAGTTTGACGGTCTGTTCGATGCTTCTCTGTCTCTGGTTCTATTTTTGTTCATCAGTTTATGTTGATCATCATATCCCACAAATGAGTGAGATTATGTGATATTTATCTTTCTCCAACTGGCTTATTTCACTTAGCATAATGCTCTCCATGTCCATCTATGCTGTTGTGAATGGTAAAAGTTCCTTCTTTTTTATAGCGGCATAGTATTCCATAGTGTAGATGTGCCATTTTTTTTAATTGCTTAAAGTATTACAAAGGGTATTACATATGTGTCCTTTTTTTTTTCTCACCCTTGACAATCCCCTGGCCTCCCCTACCCCCAAGTGTCTTATGTCCGTTGGTTATGCTTATATGCATGCATACAAGTCCTTCGGTTGATCTCTTACCCTCCTCCCTCCTGACCCCCCACTCTGCTACAAGGGATGTTTGATATTTTGCTGCCTACGTTTTCTTCTAGGATTTTTATAGTTTCACGACTTATATTTAAGTCTTTTATCCATTTTGAGTTTATTCTTGTGTATGGAGTAAGTTTGTGGTCTAGTTTCATTTTCTTGCATGTAGCTGTCCAATTTTCCCAACACTATTTCTTGAAGAGACTGTCTTGACTCCATTGTATGTTCTTGCCTCCTTTGTCAAATATTAATTGAGCATATTGGTTCGGGTCAATTTCGAGGTTCTCTATTCTATTCCATTGATCTATATGTCTGTTCTTTGCCAGTACCAAGCAGTTTTGAGAACTGTGACTTGGTAATATCGTTTGATATCTGGTATAGTGATCCCTTTAAC